CACCGGCTCCCAGGCCTGCCGGCAGAAGGACAGCGCTGCCGCTGCCGCTGCCGAGCCGCTGCCGCCGCCAGCCATGACGCGCCGGGCGCGGAGCGCGCAGCCGCACGCACCGAGAGAACCCCGTAGCCGGACTCTGACAGCAACAACACTGCACACGTGCTGCAGGGCCGGCTGGGTGGCACGGGCATATGACGCACTGAACACTCTGCCGACGCCGATTGGCTGCGTGGAGGCGTGACGTAAGGAACAGTTCCAAGAGTTCCAGCAGCGGCAGAGCTCAGCCCTGGGAGGGGGGTGTGGCAGGCGCGCTGCGCATGCGCGGGTCACCTGCCTCACAAGCACGGCCTACGGAAATGACTTGAGATCACGAGTCCCAGGTGCTGCCGCGTCGTTGCTGTTGCTTCCGGCTGGGTTCGGACCACGGGGCCTTTCACTACGACCGCAAGGCGCGCTGCGTGGTGTCGTCACATCTCGTGGACCCTCGGGGATCTAGTCGCTCTCGCGAGTTGTGGCACAGAGGTTGCAGGGGCTGGGGAGCAGGCTGGGCGCGGTGCTGGCCCCGGTGTTCTGCGGGGTGGGGGGAGCCGCACGCCTGGGGGGGCTCTTTGCTAGGGACGCGGAAGCTTTTTAGCTCCAGCCTAGCCTGAATTTAACACCTTCAAGTGGTTTTAAACACTGGTTTTGCCACTCAAAGGAATGCCACTTCAGGGCAGGATGTTCTCTGATGTGCACGGTACCCAGCGCTTGTTCCATTCAGGGGCGGCCACTTCCCACGGGTTGCAGTCCTCCAGTAGCCCAGGATCTATCACGCTCCCACCATCGACTAGGGATAGAAGCCTGTCCTGGCTCACCAAACCCCAGGTGGCAACTGACATCTACAGCTTCTAGTCCTACCCCTGCTTGCCAGGCTTCTCGTGTCATGGCACAGCTGTTCAAGCCTGTGGGTTAAGATCAAGTGTAGTTACAACCACCTTGAATAGTGTGTAGTAGAGACCTGTCCAATACACTGCTGACACCCCTTCAAGAGTCTACTATAGCCTCCCAATGGGAGGATCTCAGCTATGTGTCTATTTTCTGTAAATGGGAGATTTCTCCCTAGCTTGTTCCTTTGGCCTTTGGACTAAGGGCACGCAGGAGTCAGGGGCATCCCAATTCCAAGATCTCCAGGCTTGGGCCCTAATACATAGGATGCTTCCCATGGATTTGGGAGTATCTGAAGCCCCAGGCTGAAGAGTCCGGGAAGGAGGTTACTTGCCAATAGTAGTACTATGCAGATTTCAACAACTGAGTTCTTCTCAGGCAACAGAATTCATAACTGATTTGCTGATGTGCTGCCTATGAAGCCACAGGATTCAGAACTGATTTGGCTAATTTGGCCCAAGATGTAATTAAAAAAAAAAGTAGGGGACAGCCAGAGGTTTCTAGACTAATGGTACAACTGCTCCAGACTCCAAGGTAGCACTAACACCAATCAAAATGTACGTGGCTCACAGGGTAAAGTGTAAAAAAATTCTCAGTTTCTTTTTGTTTTAAGGATGGGAATGATATATTTATAGTAGTTGGGTTCTCAGCTATAAAGAACACCTCTTGCAAAGTTAAGGCTCTGCAAAATGGCTTATTCCATGGGTGAATGGTGCCACCTTAGTCAGGGGGGCACATGCCTCCCCAGTGACCGGTCAGCAACCAGGGGTGGGGGTGGGGGTCCTCACTGCAGCAAAACTTATCAACCAGTGAGTGGCTGCGCTGCTCCTGAAAGTGGCCACAGCCTACATCTGGCACTCCTATTCCCTGGTCAGCACTTGGAGGCAGGGCACTGGTGCTCCCACCTACCCCCCCATCACCTAAGCATGGAGCGTGGCCAGTCAGGGGGTGCATGAGCACCCCCTATACCTTGCCACTGGCTTATTCTCATGCAGTAGTTAGGAGTTTGCAAAAATAATGTTACTCAGGCTGCTTTTTTTGCCATCAGTTCTAGAGTTGCTTATTGGCTTCAAATAATTTATTCCAAACCAGGAATAAAGTTGAATACATTTATAGAAATCTGAAAAAGTGTTTAAAACGGTGAGATGGCAAAATTTGCAGTTGACTAAAAATTATCTGGCTTAGTCGTAAGCAAAGTTTCTACAAAAGCCTGAAATAAATTGGGTCTGAGATTGCTGACACAGCCACTGGAGCGCTTTACTTGTTCCCAGCACAGAGGCCAGGCAGCTGGGAGCGGTGCTCACACCATTTTCGCTAGTTCCCCCAGTCCCCAGCTGTGGCATGGCATGGGTTCCACTTCCAGCCAGTGGGGAGCCATGCCAAGGCCAGGCAACTTCCGGTTGTGCCTCCACTGCAGCGGAGGAGTGGGGGTTGGGAGAAGTGGTAGCAGTGTGGGCACAGCTCCCAGCTTCTTGGCCCGAGTACAGGGAAAAGCCCCGCACCTTTGACACATTGCCAAAGCCACCTAAACCACACTGGACTGAAACTGGGTTGTTCTAGCTTGTGGCTTGTAAAACATGACTAGCCTCTGCCCTACACCAATGTCAGTGCCTCAAATCCAGGACACACTTCAGAAAAAAATTGTAGTAAAAATATAGTTTTGTTACATTGGTGCCTGTCTTCTTCCGTTCTAGGGAAGCCACTTGCTATAGGCAAGCAAGCTTTCCAGTTCCCTGGTGAGGAAGTAGTGTAATAGCACCTACTGCAAGCAGCTTCTTAGGGATAGCTACTTGTCTACCTTCCCTGGATACTGGTGTAACTTACATCTGTGCATGAAAACAATGTACATCACCCTGATGAAAATGCATTGCATGTCCAACTTACAGGCTTACTGTAAAATAAAAACCTTATTTTTTAAATTAGTATATTTCTAGTTTCATGTCCCCAGTTTACCTTTGAATTCCCTCAGGTTTTGTAAGGTTACCATAACTTAAACATTCTTAAGCTGATGGGTTTTTCACTTGTCCCTGTTTGAAAGTCCACACAGACCAAAAAAATAAAAACATCTAACTGACTGACTACACAGGGGAAACAGTGACTGAACATGTGCACTAAATGCCCAATTCTAAGACACACTGCACAAGTGAATTTGTCTCACCTGAAGCACTGATAGTCAAAGTATGGTCAAATGTACCAAGTAAAAACTCGGGGTGGAGGAGAAAACCCCCTGACCCTCAGTTTAAAGTACTTTAAATGTGTATATTCTTATTGTATGGGAAGTCACAGCCTCAGTATTTTGTAGCACGAAACCACCTTTCCTCATTTTAACTGCATAATAAAATGGAATTACTGCATGCTGTGAAAATGATCTAGTTCCAGTGCATGGTTGGATCATTAACAAAAATGTACAATCTAGACTCACTGCAGGATTTTTTTTGTCAAACAAGGCAAAGTTCATTCAAGACTACAGACATGCCAACTATGAAGCTTTAAAATGAGGTTGATTCTGCAAGTGATTCATAGAATGAGCTCCCACACTGCAGCAAGCTTGATGGGTGACAGCTTCTATTTCAGTATTTCCTGGGGTCCCAGATGGCAAAAACCTCCACTGCCATTTTGCTTGTACTTGCAAGGAAAGCAAAATTTTCTATAGTTGCCAACCCTTACAACTTTATAGTGCAGCATTTCTCAACCCAGTGGCTTGCAACCCAAAAGTGGGTCACAAGAATGTATGAAAGGGATGTGAACAACCTTTAAAAATGTATTCTCCCTTAAAGAAGAAAAACATGGGAAACCGCAGCTTTTCCCTTGCAAGCTGGCAGAGCTTCTTGGGGCTGCCCCACACACTGGGGGGCTGATGCCTAGGATGGAGGGGCACTAGGTCAGGACTGGCCGTTGATGTTTACAAATGAGTCCTGGTACAAAAAAAGTTGAAACTCCGGTTATAGTGCATTTTGCCACTCAAGATGGCCACTGCTTTCCTTCCCCACTTAGACATGAAAGTAAGGACTTCCACCGACAAAACCAGCTGGTACTTCTCACTGCCTTTTCAAAGGACAGAGGCTGCAGGATGACCCCACTCCTGGTTGGGAGAGCGGAGAAACTGGGAAGAGGGGGATATGGGGAGCAGAAGGGACAAGGAGTGGGAGGGCAGCAAAGGAGAAGGTGCGGTTGTTAAAAAGGAAATGAAAGAGAAGCTGAGGGAGCCCGGAGCGAGGGCTGCAGGGCAGCGGTCCTCAGCCCAACGCCGGAGGCACCTGGGCTCTAGCTGTCCTTCCTAGTGCCTGCCCGCCCGTTACGGGCGGCTTCAGCACCATCTGAACTGGGCCCGGGGCGCCCGCAGGCTCTCTCCCGCCTTGAACCGGGGCGGGGGCGCCCAGCTCCGGCTCCGCCTGAGTCCGCTGCCGAGCCGGGCCGCGCGCCTGAGGG